CGTCTGCTCTGAACGCGTCACACTGCGTCATCAACCTACAATTGCAAGATATGACCACGCTGGAAACACAAGCGGGAAAATGTAAATTTTACACAGGAAAAAAAAAAAAGAACCGGCACCAAAAATTTCAATATTTTAGAGCTCCCCCTAAATGTGTCAGCTAAGGCAAGAAAACCGTTATCAGCCGAAACACTGCCACACCCATTCATTTTGAAAGAGCGGCAGCCAATGGTGTGATTTCTTCACTCAGGGGCGGACTTTAGCGTTTACAGAACGAGCCCGCCTCTTCAGCACAGAGGGAAGTAAAAACATTCCACTTTAGAGGTCATATGAGGCTTTGTGTTGGAAAGTCAAAGATTAATGAAGTTCTTTGTTTCAAGCACTCCCTTCTCTTCCTGTCAACCTTAAATAGCCGACGTAACGAGAATGTACTTGCCAAAATAAAGTGATCAAAATGGCAAATCTAATCGACAACATTTCTAAATACCAGAGCTGTGCAGGCTTCCTGATGTGGCACAGACCATACCGTGTGTTTGCTTTGGCTCAGAGGAAGCCACAAGAAATAACTTCACTTGGCTTCGAGAGCAGTTTTGTCAAAATACTCTAATGAGCTCAAGAGAATCATTGTCTGCCTCTCAAATGTTCTGTGATGAACCACCATGTTTTGGGAGTTTCATATTTCAATGAAATGAGTCACACTAACACACTGTAAGAGGAAGCAGAAGTGGTTTTTGAAGGTGTGTCTGTGTGTAAGTGTGTGTGTCGTGACACGCGAGGACAAGTGGTTTTGACTGGTTGATGATGTGAACAAACCGGATGCGAGTTTAGTTATCTGTGTCTGTCCTAATGACAAACTAACGGATGCGGTTTTTACACATTGTCTGCACAAACATGGAAACAATCACGATAAAATACTGCATTTATTTTAGGGATGCATCGAAACCGATACCAGTGCTCATGTGCTCGTACAACTACTACGATACAACCGCATGCGGCCACTTTCCCCAGTAAATCTCCTCGTTTAATGCGAGGTTGTCAGCTGTGTGTCTGTCCGGCTTACTGTCCACCAGTGTGTTACGTTAGCCCTGCGTAACGTTAGCAAGTGTCCAGTCAAGAGAGTTATGAGTGTGAAGTCAGCAGTAACATCGTAGCGGTGCAGTGTGTGTACAGTTTATTTGTTCGTGAATAAATGCAGAATAATTCGTGTTAGCTAACACCGGCTAGCAAGTTTTGTTAGCATGTCTTTTTTCACAATGGCTGAAGCAAAATAACAGTTTCTCTCAATATGTGAAGTCACTCACTCTTCGGGGCCGCGAGTGTTACTTGAGAAAGTTGGCAGACTATGTACTTCGCCGGGAGGAGAGCAGATGGTTGCACCGGAGAGCACGGCTGGCTAGTTAGCAAACTAGCTGGTCCATTTCTGGAGCTGGCGAGTTAGCTAGCTGGTCTCCTAGCGTCAAGGAGTGAGGCAAAAATGTTTCTGTATCCTGTGTAGCGTGATGGAATTAGCAAAGGTAGCCAAGTAGCCCGCCATCCGCTAGTTAGCTTGCTAATTCCCCCATGCACGTTTCTCTCTAACTCTTTAATAATTTAGCCGGCTGAGGATGTTAGCAGAACGCGAAGCTAAACTATTAACAAAATTCTCTCCATCGCTGAAACACTCCGTCGATATTGTAGCTCGAATCGAATCACGTTTTCTTTAGCCCATTATTCCGAGTTAATTTGTGTTTTGCCTCCATTGAAAAATTGTCTGTTTGCGTAGATGAGACTGAAATGTCTGACGATAGTTTTTTTAAATTCCAGTCAGAAATATATCGTCTAAATTAGCATCATGCCGGTCCTAAGCATCCTCGATAGATCAATACACTCAAATCACTGTGATTGTTCCCGTTAATTGTGAGGGATTTAGTGCTAATGCTTTGAGTAATCAGCCGTTTACTTTACAGTGAGGCAAATGGGCTGGTAAATCATGCTTAGGCCAATTTAGAGTGTTTACAGTACTGATAGTGTGAAAGCTGAATTAATGACACTGACGTAACGCACGCTCAGCATCATAGTGCCTTCACTTCCTGCATGTGCGGGTCCGTGGGCGTCACCCATGGGCAGGGCAGGGTTAGTAAAAAAGAAGAACCTTTTCTGAGAGTCACAGCTTTAAAACCCTGAAAGCTATGAGTGTATGTCACTGTTTCTGCTGGGAAGGAAGGAGGGGGGGAAAAACAGCCTTTCAGCTGTTATCAGCTACCTGAACGGGGCCAATCACCTCCCACTGCTGAGCTATCAATGTGGAGTTAATTGCCTTTCAGAGGAAAAAGGCAGAGTGGCTTTGTGGGCGTGTGTTTCCTTCTCTCCTTGTTTGTTGTGCTTTTTCTTTTCTTTTTTTTTTGATTAACCCTAAATTACAGTACAATGTGGAGCAGGGTATGTGCCTGGAATCTGTCATTCAGATTATTTACTTAAAGGACAGGAACAAAAAACGGACTTGACAGAAACTGATACAAAGCACATTACACAGAGAGAGAGAGAGAGAGAGAGAGAGATGAAGAGGAGAGATGAAGAGGGGAGATGGAGAGAGGAGCAGATAAGTGGAGAGAGAGAGGGAGGAGAGGTGGGCTGAGCTTGGCATGCAAACAGCGTGCTCTCTGAGTAGAGGACAAGGTTGTTCAAGGCCGCCCCCGTCATGCTTGATGGGTTACAGTGGGGGGTTTCTGACGGGAGGAGGGGGAGGGGTGGTGTTTGTGTGGGTCCTTCATGTGTATCGTATGCATGCATGTGCAGACACATCGGAATGCAGTGCTCTAATGGCCTCTATCACGTTAGCTTCCTCTTAAACCCCTGGTCTCTCGTGTCTAATTGCATTTGTCACAGCTTTCAGTCCTGAATACGCACCAACCATCAGTCCGGTCTCTATAGTAGCCTGCACGTTTGATGAGGGAGGGATTGTGTGGCAGGCACGAGGATGAGATGCCGACATGTCGGAATATGTCGGTGCCTGCAGGACTGGATCAAACTCCAGAAGCCTCGTAAGCATTATTTTTTTCCCATCATATGGTGCCTCAGAGGGGCATCGGTGTGTGTGTGTGTGTGTGTGTGTGTGTGTCTGTGATGATGCACTCTGCATGTGTTACAGCGAGACTGAACAGGATCTAGTCGGTGTTTATTGTTCTGTTATTGTTGTTATTATTATCCCTTTGCAGATTTGCTTCACTGTAATATTTGTTGCAGAGGTAAAATGAGAACATTGATTCCAGCTACCGCTTAGCCGCTAGTCCGTAGCCCGGCAAAGCCAGGCAGTTTGTATAAAACAAGATGAATGTGATGGAAACTGTAATACGATTACTAATGACAAATCACATTCCCCGGGTTTTCTAGCTCAGCAGTATTGCGCCGCTCACAGGATGTGGATCATATTGGGATTGCTTTAAGATGAATGCTGATTGGATTAATAGTGAGAGGAGGTGCAGGTGGATAAGAGATTCACTCAATTTGGCCGCGTTGTGCTGGCATCCAAAATAAAGAAACGGGAGTAGTCGTCAATTATCCCGGAAGAGTTCTTCTCCTCGGAAACTTGTGAGAGTCACTGGTTCTGCTAAATTTACTACCGATCCTCATGCAAGCGCACATGCGTGGCTTCATGAGGAGCTGGTGGGTTCAGGTGACAGTTAGACCACTTCCCCTCTCTTGTTCCACTTTATTGCTCCAGTTTGGTGTTATTTAGGTCAACCCACACAGCCAACTACCGCTAAGCTTCAGTGGTGAAGTTTCCCAACAGCAGCCATCATGCAAATCCACTCAACAAGTGATTTCCGACATGATATGAGGATGTAGTGAGGGGTCTCGCGCTCCATTGGAGGAGGATTAGGATGCTGGTCGTTGGTCGAGATGTGCTACATGGTGCCCTCTTATGCCGGGTGTTGTGGTCAGTGTGGTGGGTGTTTTTCTTGGTGCCTCCCCTTTGCACTCACACACCCCGTTTGTGCCCTTTTGTTTGACTAACAAATACATGCAAAATTACAACGCATGACTCACAGCGCAGTCGATAATGACTGAAAATACACAGCATAATAGGGCTTAATAATAACATGGTAATTATTACACTCAGAAGGCGGGAACCAACCAATTGTCTCCGTTTCTTTCTCCTTCTTAAAGAAGTTGTATTCTTCCCTCCCTCCTCCCCGTCATCACAGATTAACATTCTAATAGTTGGCTTCTTAGGAATGAAACCCCCTTTGATGTGCGGTAGGTAAATCCCCTCATTAAGTCGCCACGGCAGATAATCAGTTTGGGCCGGATCAGGTGGAAGAGCGAGCTTTCACCAGAGCAGCATTAACCTTCCTGCGTGACCAAGTTTCATCAAACATGAGTGTTCTACATTGTTTCTCCACACAGAGGAGGACGGGGCTGGTTATGAGTTAATACAACAACCTCTTTTTAATTGTTGTTTGTATTCCTCGTGTAACTACGCGTGAGGAGTAGCGCCAGGTATCGGTACTCCATAGCTTTAAAAAGGTATCAACAGAAATAAACCGTACCAGGTCAAACAGAAACCTGCTGTTGATCCTTTTAGTTTCCGGATCTAGAAAAATAACAACAAACTTTCTTTGATTTAATGCAACGTGTGATTGGCCAAATACTGCAGCAGCTACAACCCGGGATTGGCTGCCTGCACACGGCTCTGAACACAGAGATGTCTGAGCTAACGGTGCCAACAGTGCAGACAGCACTGTTACCGCTGGCTGAGCAGTGTTCAGTGCGGCGGTGATTTGGGATACACACACACACATGAGGGGTATCTAATCAAGTATCTGTCTAACTTTCAGGATACTGGCATCGTCATTTTACCCAGCTCCACTGAGGAGGTGTTGTTTTAAAGCGTTGCTCTTTATTTTTACTAACATCTCTAATCTGCTGGGTAATAAAACACCATTGTGACTATTACAGTGTGTGCAAGAAAAGAAAACAATATGTCTTCACTCTCTTGTCCTTTTCCCGTCTGTCCACAGTGAATGAGTATGTGTTCATGGTCCAGGCCAGAGGGATCCAGATCAGAGAGAACGTGAAGAACATTGGGGCTCAGGTTATTGAGCAGGTGGTGAGAGGAGCCTACAACATCAACGGCACAGGTAAACACATACGCACTGATACGCAGAGGTAGATCTGGATATATCCGTAATAAATAAAACCAAACAACCAATTAAAAAATGTGCAAAGTCTGTGGAGGTCAACAAACATGATTGAGGTTTTGTCCATACATCGTATCATAAGTCGATTACGTGAGTATTGAGACAGGCGTCTGGCACATAGCTGAAAGAAATAAAAAGCATATATACGCAGCGAGACTCGTGATTGTGATGTTGACATTGGTATGTGTGTGATTCCAGATTATGCCTACGAGTTCAATGTGAGCGAGAGTGATGCTCCTCCCGCCACATACCTGCCCGAGGGCTTCACCTACCTCCCCTCTCAGGTGTGCCCTGAACGGCTGCTCTCCATGAGTGAGTACAGTTTGATGAGAACAAACGTCACTCGGTGACCTTTCGTTGAACCGTTTAAACGTAAAAGCAGCTGCTCTTCAGGTTCTTCTGGCCTCGTCAAATGTTCCATTAAGTGTACTTCTGTACGTATTGTGTTCCAATAATAGAGTTGTGAAACGGTTGAGAGATTGACGATGCATGGAAATATGTTTTCATGGAAAAGAAGATTTATACTTTGAGATTGCTCAACTGTTACAGGCTTTAATGTGTTGTTGTTTTTGCCCCTCCTCCCTCCACACACACACACACACACACACACACACACACACACACAGAGGGCAGGTTAAAGGTAAACATGAGTGAGGTGTCTTTGGAGGAGGTGGAGAGATCCTTGCTGGAGGAAGACCCTCACAGGACCCCAGGAGGCTACTGGAAACCCAAAGACTGTTTACCTCGCTGGAAGGTGAGTGTGGATGTGACAAAAGAGGACCATTTACTTAAAACCACTGTCCAATAAATAGACCCTTTTTACAGCTAACGTCATGATTATGTCACCTTGGTAGCTGGAGGCCAAACAAGAATAGGCTAAACTTCAAGAGGGATGAGTGTTGGGCTCATTTTTGTAACCAGTGCAGCATGAAA